TCGGTATAGGGAGGACCGACCAATATTGCGCGTGTGCTTCCGTCTTCATATTAGATATAATATCCGGCATTTTTTCGATGCACCGGCGACCCGCGCGATAAATAATTCCACGATCCGAACGGGTAATAACGTAGCAGCCGGATTACACAATTTTATATCCGGCCCTCGAAAACGGCGGCGCAAAAGCGTCGCGCGGTCCAGTGTCGCATAAAATTTGCAAACAGTCCGAAGCGTCCTCGACGCCGGGAATCCTTTGAGCCGCATCCCACATGCTTCGTTTCCCGGCAGGACTTGCACTCGCGCGAGCGTCGAAAATTGTTTTCGAACTGGACCCCTGTCGACTTAAAAACTCTCCGCGCGGAAAGATCCGTCGAACAAACAAAAACTCGCGCGATACGAGCATCGTCGAGCCGAATATTCCTCTAAAAAGTATTAATTTCATTTTGTACCTTTTAATTCTTCGTTCAATCCGTTTATTTAATTCATACTGGAGCTACCGGGCCATGGAAATTTAATTCTGAATCGGACGTTTGCCTGCCGTCCTTCGGAAGGAAACAATTTCGTTTTATACCTTTCAATTCTTCATTCGACTCGTGTGTTTAATTCATATCGCAATTAACGGCGCCGTAAACATTCAATTCCGAATTGGACGTTTCCCTGTGACTCTCCCCGAAAAAGACGGTTCACTCTGCACCTTCGAATTCTCCATTCGACTCATTTCTTTTATTCGCGTCGCAATCAACGGCGCCATAAAAATTTAATTAATATGCTCCATTTCGGTTGTCGAGCGGAATAACGGTGATATTAAAAATATCACAACGGCGCGTACAATAACGAAACGTTCGAAACGGGGAACGATGAGGAAAATCTTCTATGAACTCCGTGTAAACATTAATTAAGACGTTTCGCTCGTTAAAAACGTGCCGGTGGCGCACGCAATTGAACGCAATTAAGGGCGCGTTTGTCCGAGCAGCTGCTCCAAATTTGGAGAAACGGCGGGGAAAAATCGAGCCGGTCGCGTTGATCGGCGCGATATTTATCTTCGATCGACCTCGATACACGTAAGTTCGTCACGCGGATGAAGCGACGCGATAAACTTCTCCGAAAGTTGGCCGCTCCGGCGGCCGCCATCTTACCCCGGCAGGACTAATGTAATATTTGTCGGCGGATCGAAGCAAACTGAACTTTTCGCATTAACCGGCGTTGATCGAGTCGCGCCGCTTCGACGGGGAAAAAAAGGAAGATCTCCATGAACGCAATCTCGCGATCCATACCCGCCGCGACCGTTCTCATTCCACACGCGATACGTTTTACGAGGTCTCCGTCTGGCAAAGATATGTGTCAGGATTAACCCTCGGAGCATTACGGCCGAGTATAGTGGATGCTTGCGAAATCCTCATAAAACTCGGTGAAGAATGAATTTTATATGGAAAGGGGAATCGAAACTCTACAATAAAATTGTTCGCGGAAACCTTTATTTCCGAGTTAATCGAGTTCGAAGGATCGCGCGTATTGGAACTGCGGCGGAGTAGAAAGGGTGCGTCATGAACAGACACACGAGATCGCTCTACACCTGCGTTTGGATAATCTTGATAATGAAAACGTTTCGTAGAAATGAAATGAAATTTTCTGTAGAAGAAGTTTTAGATTTTCCAGTTGTTTTAGATAAAATTATCTACTTTTCGTAAACTACTCTGTAACCGTGTTTACAGTTTATTGATTGATACAGAGAACTCTGTAACTGTTATTTGATTAAACTACTATTTCAAAAGTTTCCCTGCAGAAACGAAATGAAAAATTCTGCAGAGGAAATGCTGTTTTAGATTTTCCAGTTGTTTTTTCAGATAAAATTATCTACTTTTCGTGAACTACTCTGTAACCGTGCTTTATAAATGATAGGTTCTACAGTTTAGAGTTTAGAGATTGATACAGAGAACTCTGTAACTGTTATTTCGATGAAACTATTATTTCAAAAGTTTCCCCGCTATTTGAAGCGCAGAACGGTTGCACAAACACTGCTTTATCCGAGCCGTGTAGTATTTGATATTTGAAATAACACTCGGAATACCTCTTCCTTAAATTTTATCCAGCCCCGACGCCACTTAATCACCAGACACTATTTCTTCTGCCTATTCTCACCGACTATGTGCACGGTGGCAGCGTATCGCGACGGGGGTTACGTATTCCGCGAACGCCACCGCCTCGCGCCTCGTAAATTCGCCGAGCTTAAGGTAAACCGCAAAAAGCTCGGTAAGTACGTCGAACGTCGCAGTGCACTTGACGCGGCGCCGCCGTCACGTTATGGATATTCGACGGATCTCGGCCGAGCGTTCCTAAAAGGCGCGCTGCTCGTCCCAGAGAAATTCGATCGGGTTTTCGGGAATCGCGTGTCCTAGTCATGGATTATCTTTAGTAAGGTATTTTCGAAGAAACTCGATATTTCCAGAGACATCGATGTTCACCCGTAATGAACGTCGATATAAAATCTGACGTAGATTCGAGACAAACTGTATATCGTTTTACGCTGCTGAATAATTCATCGTAATAGTTTATATGATTCGCAAGGGTAGATTTATTCCAAATAAATATTCGAAGATCAGAGCGTTCACTTGAAAATCATTCGAGTGGTCTGATAAATCTAGATCTCTGTAGATCTCCCTTAACACTAGAACTACCGAGCATTTAATACGATTAATATGCAATTACTATAAAAATTGTGACAATAGATTATTTTCAATTTCTTCAGACATTCATGATAGTACTGAAATGAAGCAGTTTATTTTCAAAATCATTTCGAATATTCTGGAACATGAAATTCAAATATAATTAAAATTCGAACTCATAATGTTCGATCAGAATCGAAATTGAGTAACGATGGTTCTTCAGACGTTTGAAACGTTTAACACTAGAACTACCGAGCATTTAATACGATTAATTACTATAAAAATTGCAACAATAGATTATTTTCAGATTATTCAGGCTCTCATGATAGTACTGAAATGAAACTATTTATTTTAAAAATTATTTCGAATATTCAATGCTTCGAAGATACCAATAATTGCTAAACAAACAAATCGAAACCAGTCATTCTGACTGGTGCGTAGGTCTAGTGTTAATCCTAATTTCAAAGGGACCACGCGACAATCCTCCCCAACGAAAAGATTAACGAAATCCCGTCCCCTTTCGCCGCGACTCACCCTGACAATCAACGTCACATGTCCTGGTAAACATTCAACAAGACAGAAATTTCATTACAGAACGAAACGCGGAGTGTACGCTGTAATTGTATCAACTTCCTTCATCCTAGCCAAGAGTATTCTGAACCGTGAATGAATTTTCATTCATTCGTGTTTCACTTTGTACCTTGGATTCTGGACTCCTTACATCATGTAACTTGGAATCGGATCTAAATGTTGAATTGCTGAAACGAGTGCACAGACGCGGTAATAATACCGTGTCCCGACTTTCAATTGACTCGCTCGGAAGCTAATGACGTTCATTCCAAAAGAGAAAACTTGAGAACATTAATGTCCCGGCTTCTGAAATGATTGTACAACATATTCAGAATACACCGAGTCTCCCTTAGAAAAAGACAAAGTAAATATTGAACTAACTAAAAACAATATTATTTATACCATTAACCCTTTGTACTCGATGGGCGACTCACAGTCACCAGATGATTTGATACAGCAACATTATAAACCTTGGTATTTACCATTAAAAATAGCTTTAGTTCCCTAATTCACGTGTGATTTATTAATAAATTCATTTTAAAGAATCTCGTCTACATCTAGTTAGAGAGTATTGAACATTTCAAGTGAGAAACTTTCGAGTACAAAGGGTTAAAATTGACAAAAATCAGAGAATACCAACAAATACTGAACAGCGGCTTCCGACTCAATCACCTCTCAGTCGAGATTCGCATAATATTTCGCAACGGTTACATAAATTTCAGCAACCGCGCCGGATAAGGGTTAAAAATCCCCACCCCGACGGTGTAATTCCACGAGATTTTTTCGCGAGAAAAGGATCCTCGACGCGGGGAAAGATAAATTCTCGTGGAAAGGCAGCGGGCCAATCGCGAGCCCGAAAAACAAAAGGCGGCCCCCGATGTAACACTTCCCACCCCCTAACCCTTTTTATATCCCGCGCTGGCTTCCCTTCACTCGTGTCCTTTATCGTATGGCCGACGAGTTCTTCGTCTTTTGTCTCCATGCTCCGTTTCCAAACATCTCTTTCATCCCCTTTTATACGAGCCACCCTCGTCACGTCTCTTTCCATCATCGTCCCCGCGTCTACGCGACGCGACGCGACGCGACGCTGTCCTCGTCTCGGCCTCCTTTCCCTTCGTACTTTCTCCATTTCGATCTCGCTCACGTGCGCACGGACATCCCCTCGTATCTTTCACCGCGTACAATACTGTCAAACGCAAGAAATGGCAACGACGAGGTCGAGGTCACCGTCTAACGTCCGCTATCTTTTTCAGCTGCGTCGTCCACGTGCACGAGCTTCGCTGTTAATCATGGCGTCCTGTTTATGTTTCCCTCCTCGGGAGCTCCTCTGGAAACATAGTGGCGACAGACGACGGTGGAGTTACAACTCTGGTAATTAGAATCTTGGGTTTCGTGAGATTTTGGTACGTTGAAAATAGTCCTATTATTGCGTTAACCCTTTGCGGTCCGAAGTGCTCTTGATTTCTTACCTTGAGGTTCACGTCGACGTCAGTTCATTCAATTACTTGAATGTTTTCTTGAATGAACCTTGAATTATTGAATATAATATTTGGGAGTCATTGAAATTACTTACTTTCAAATGGTACAATTGTGATACTACAAATAAACATAGAAAAAATTGTTGAAACAGGTAGAGGTTGCAATAAAATAGAATGTCGAGTCAGACTCGACATAGGACTGCTAAGGGTTAAAAGTATATATAGATTGAACATTTTATGCTATCATTATTACATTGAGACAGATATCGAAAGAAGTGTTTCCTTCGTCGAGGAATTGATTAATCTGGTAATTGTATTATCTTCGCAATGAAGATTATATTTCGCTGACTAGAAATTGGAATATGCAACGATGCTATTGATTATGTTTGGTACTTTGTTATGTTTCTGGTACGTGGAAAATAATCCTATTATTGCGTTAAAAGTATAGATTGAATATTTTATGCTATCATTATTACATTGAGACAGATATCGAAAGAAGTGTTTCCTTCGTCGAGGAATTGATTAATCTGGTAATTGTATTATCTTCGGAATGAAGATTATATTTCGCTGACTAGAAATTGAAACATGCAACGATGCTATTGATTATGTTTAAGATATTTAATCCTATGAATAACTGAACCATTTCTAATCTGAAACAATTACTCTACATTTCCCAGAGGATTAAATTGAACGAGACTTCTGCGTTGTATCATAAGACAGAGCCGTATTTATTTAGGTGGCCGCAGAAATTCGAAAGCAATCGTCGTACCGCTACGCTGCTCCCAGTTGCGAGTTGAGTGCTTCGGAACTCGCTCCGCGGAACTTTCCCGAGGAAGTTAAAAATATGAAAGCAACGTGCGCTTCCTTGCTTCGCCATCGACGTAGAAATCCGCCGGGGACCGCGCGAAAAAAACCGGGAAACCGCGGAAGCGGAATCGTCTTTCCGCGCTTTTTTCGGCGTCCGCGTGCACGGAATCGGCGCCTCTCGAGGTTTCCATGAATTTTAATGGCTGCGGGTGTGCAAATCGGACCAGTTACGGCTGCGCGTCTGCGTTGTTGTACAAATGAGATTAGATTGCCGAGACGAAAGTCAGCTTCCCGCCGGGACCACTGTTTCCCCGTGGCCGTTCGCGATGGGAAATCTGTGTTCGTTCTTGAAAGGACTCCCATGATGTCTCTCCGCTCCGACGGAATGTCTTCTTTGTCCGTTCGTTCTTTTATTCCTCCCGCGATGTTTATTCGAGCTGCTTGGAGTTAAAATACGGGCTTATTCGTCCCGAAGGAGTCGAGATAATTAAAATGAAGGTTGGCCGAGCGAGCTGGAAGCCGGGGAATGAAAATATTGAAGTTCGCGGATTGAATAATTGCAAAGCAAATGAATGCAGAAGGAACGGGATAGCGTTACGTAGAAAGAACGCGCGGAAACGTTGACCGTGATTGTTTGGGAAAACGGACGTGTGGGTGAATTAGCGAGAATTTTGTAAACGATGGAAATGAAACTTACGTAATGACATTTGCTGCGCGAGAGCTCGTCCGACGAACTCGATATTCGCTGAACAAGGTTGATAAACGCCAATGAAATGCTATTAGTATGACAAATCAGCGACCCGGTTACGGATTGCAAACGTTGGGAATAAACTTCGTTGCGAGCCGTACTCGTTGGTGGGCGTTCTCGTCCAGACAGTTAACAAAACGTCCAAACATAATGGAACTTTTAACAATCGCGTGTATCATTCCTGCCAGGTACATCTAAATGAATTCTAACGATCGAATTCAAATGTTCAAATTCCAACGGTTAACACTAAGCGGACCACGGACTTTGAGTCACATTTGAAATTTTTACTTAAATTTTTTTATTATTTCATGTTGCATTTCTAAAAGTTTCTTTTTGGGCTTTTAAATTTTGGGCCTTTTAAACAGAAATAACATTTTAACCCTTTGCGGAATGTCGACATTTCGATCAGATGAAATGTTCATATTTGGAATACTAAATTGCACACGGATGACTTAATTACTTGAATAGCAGGTGATCAGTGTATAGTTCCATTTTTACTGTTGTTTAAGCATTCGATGTATAACACTTTGATTGCCACGTAAACACTCGTCAAAACTCCCATGTACTCGAAACAGTTTTCTCTATTAACCAGAAACTGAGAAATCAAGATTCTTCTTAACAATTGCTCCACTATCTTTCTTATATCTCATATATCCAACAAAATTCAGTTCGTTCGATACGTCATGAAAGAAATTAATGTCCACGTTTCTGTAAAATATAATGTCACCCGAATTCGTGTGACGTGGCAGTCAAAGTGTTAATTTAGCTTCAAATGTTCTAAGCTTTGTCTACTTTAAAGAGCCTTCGTCCGCAAAGGGTTAATTGTTCCATTTATTCCCATAAGCGACTGAGAGTCACATCGTGGTACGATTCGTTAGAAAAACAGGTGGTACGATTACAGTTAACCTTCTGCGAACGAATGTCGACATTAGACGAGATGAAATTTTCGTATTTCGAAGACTAAGTCTCAAACAGCTGATTTAATTATTGAACAGCAAGAGATCAGCACATACTTTCCCGATTTTCTATTGTTTAAGCAATTGATGTACAATTTAACTTCGTCCGATGAAGGTTTCGTATGTTTCTAAGAACCTTCGTCCGCGAAGGGTTAAATTCAAATGTTCAAATTTAGGGGATCCAAGTGAGATATTGAAGGTTTACAGCTCTTGAAAGACAAATTAGCGTAATGATCCCAGAGAACAGTTACCAAGTGGGAGTGTACGTAACTTAGACACGTTCGGAATGGATCTGGTAATTAGTTCGCGAGTATTAACTGGAAAAACGAGCCGCGGGGCATCGTACAAGCTCGAAGGTAGTAGGTGAATGATGAAAGATGAAAGTACGCGTGCTGTCCTTGACGAGCAGGCCGAGCCTATCGATTTTCCTAAGACATCTTATTCGTTGGATGAACTGTGGGCGATTTATGCACCAGTGAAACTTTCCTCCTTACTTGACACAGTTTAGTTTTCTTGATCCCTTCCCATTCCCGCGCTTGGAAAGTTTCTGGGTGGAACTGCTAGGGAAATACGCTCAGGTAAATGTAGATTCAAGGGTTGAGAAATTGACACCTATTGTGTTAACTTAGCTGTGTTATGAACTTAATATTCTATCACCTTTAAACCTGCTATTCATTCCTCTCTTAATTACTGAATATTTCTATGTGAACGAGTAACCAATTTAAACACGTGAAGTCAGTATGTTGAACTGTTCTGCGTCGGGCGAATGAATTTGAATGTTAATGGAATACGAGATTTTCTGCTAACAGGGAAGAAACGTGAAATGCTCATGGGGAACTTTAAATATCCAAGGAATTTAATAACCTATTATATATAATATATCTTTTTATTTCCTCGTGAATCGTGAGAATGGACGTTTCACGCGCCTCGCCGCCGCCTAACCTCGATTTATTCGAGTAACGGCGGTGCCGGACGGCAATCTTTACATAATTGCGCTGGAATGTGTTATTAAATTGCGCCGGTATGTGGAAACCAAGGAGAATGTAATATAATACACAATCCCAATGGCGAAGCTACTGTCTATTAATAGTTACGCAACGAAACGAAGTAAACAGCCGCGCAAATGACAAAACCCAATACACGGATCGCGCGGGTAAACCGTGCTCCTCAAGGTAAATTCCAGAGGCCGGGTCCGACTACCGAAATTCCAGTTGTCACGTTCAAACATTCAAATTCTAACCGTCCAACGCAAACATTGAAACTGTAACGATCCAATTCAAATATCCACAACGGTCAAATTCAAACGCTCGAGCTATAACGGTGCAACTTAAATATCCGAACCGCAACAGTCAAATTCAAACGCTCCAACCGCAACGGTCAGATTCAAATTTCCAAGTCTTAACGGCCGAATTCAAATATCCAAAGTGAAGCGATCCAATTCAACTGCTCGAGCTATAATGGCGCAACTTAAATATTCGAACGGCAACAGTCAAATTCAAACGTTCCAAGCGCAACGGTCAGATTCAAATTTCCAAGTCTTAACGGCCGAATTGAAATGTTCGACCTCGAAACTCGAGCATTCGACTCGCAACGGTCAAAAATTGGATATTCAAAGTTTCGCTGCGAACACTTGGATCATCCGGATTCCCAACGGTCGCGTTCAAATATTCAAATCCCGACGATCGATGCGAAATAGCGGCGTGCTTCTTGTCTTCGTTTCGAGCCGATTTATATTCCTCGAAATATTCCGGGAGAAAAGGAACGGGACCGGAGGAGAAGAAACGTTCTACGGCGAAAACTTTCCGCCCGCCGAGGCGCTCGTCTCTCCTCTGTTTTCGTTGCCGCGGAAAAGAGGAGCGGGCATTGTTGTCCGACGTAACTGCATTATCGCGGTATCATGCGCAGCATCAAGCCGAAGATATAACGAGGGAAGGTTCAAGGATATGGAGCCGTGCTCGCAACGAGAGTGGATCCGCGCAGAAATTCCACCCACGTTGCCTCTCCGGCCGTCTCTCTCTCTCTCTCTCTCTCTCGGTCGCTCTATCTCTCTTTCCGTCGATTCGCGTCTACGCGTTACGCGGCAAGGTGATGCTAATGACGCAGCTAAAGGTATCGTAGCGGCGGGATGCAGCTGCCGTGCTGTTTAACGGTTGTCTACGAGTTAGAGGCGATGTAGACGTTAGCCTGGCTCGTTTCCCTACGCCGCGATCCATTTCGCTCGAGGATCCGCCGCCGAGGATCACGGGAAGCTCGCGGAGAATGCTTGAAACTTCTTTAGCGAGCAGAATGGAACGGTTGTAATTGAACGCGGTGACACGGGATGAAACAGTTTGCCGCGAGAGCTATTATCGGTGCCGTCTTCACTCTACTCGCAGTCTTCAT